TCTGAATAGGGTGTGTAACATTGGTTGGGCTGAAAATGGCATATTTGCTGTTCTATGAGCCCTAATGCAGCCTGGTTATAAGCCCCAGAATGAAACCACAGGTTTTCTTCTTTTATGGTATGCTCATTAATATTAAGATGCGCTGTGCTCTGATTGGTTGGTTTACAATGAGTGAAGCTGCTGAGCAACGACGCATCATAGCAACAAGCACTCACTAACTGAAACATCAAATCAGTTTTGCATTCTATGACCCCTTCAAAGCAGACAAGCAGGGGTTCCCCTTTCCTCAATCACAGCAGAAGAACAAACAAAAAAAAGACACACCCACAGTCAAACAGCCCAGCTTTTATAGCATCATCATGTACAATCTCTAATAAAAGGTTGAAAGCCTTTACAACATTGTCACTTTCTATTTGGGAAACATTCAACTGAATTAAACCTCTAAAGGGAAAACAAACCAAAAACCCATTTACATTCAACTTGAAAAAATTGAAGCTAACCAATAATCTAAATCCAAACCAAACCAAAAACATTTCCCCTCCCTTTCAGTCGGTTTAGATTTCCCTTATAAGGCTGACTGGAAACACCAGGGCTGTGTCCGAATGTCCACTCTAATCACTATATAGGGCACTATATAGTGGTTTAACTATTTTAAATGAGTGTCCGAACATCTAGTGGATGAAAACATAGTGGACTCGAAATTTCCCACAATGCACCTAGAAAAGTAGTGAACATCCATGGTCACTAGACGAGCAGATATATCCCTGAATGCTTTGCTCTCCCTTTAAAGATTGTGGGATTTGCTGTCACAGCTGCCCGCTGTCACCATACACTGTCGCTACCTGGCAGCGGCGATTAATAACAAAGATGGCGCAGGCACTGCGCTGTAGAAGCAAAAAGTAGTGATAATATGTCCGAATGGTCAGTTAACTGAGTTCACTGCTCTATAGCCCCTGCTCTATATAGTGATTGAGGGATTTAGGGGTTAGGCCGAACGTTCGGACAGAGAGTAGGGTTTGATTTTTAGATGATTATTTGAAAACCTTTACATATTATATGATTAAATTCTTGTGATCTTACTGGAATAAGTCGAACAAATGACTATTTTACATGATTTCTCATTTGTTGTGTTTTCTTTTCCTAGACGAGTCTTTGCAAGAGTTTTCCTCTTTCCTCAAAAACCTGGAGGAGCAAAGGGAGCTGATGGTGAGAATGAAATCTGCTTTTAACTCAAGTTGACTCTGAGAAAAACCAATTGCACATGCAGAGTTTTGCAATTATTTCTTAGCTTCCCTCTGGTGGGTTTCGTTTTTATCTGGTTTGTTAGAATAAATTTAACGCCACATAAAAATTTCTGATGATAAATTTACAATAAAAAAGATCAGGGGGGAAATCAGAACTTTGCTTCATATAATTGGAGGTTTTAACTTCTAATCATTACCTCATAGATTCATAATCTGAGACCATGAAAGATCATTTGCTGTGAGAAGATGTGGTTATTTGGTAATAAATGTTGAGCTAAACGTTGGTCTTGGTGTCATCAGGGGAATTTTTAATTTTTATTTTTTGACCTGAGCTGAACTACCCGCCGCCCTCTTGGGTCGTTCTGATCAGTGGCTAGAGCTGCTCTGCCTGTTGCTCCTCAACATCAGGGCGAAGTTTTTCCACATTTTCACCGTTGTCACAAGCACAGCTTCACTGCTCAGACAGGCAGAGAAAAAATCTCAAGGTTTATTATGCAACACTTCTAAACAAATATGTGCAACAGGATCACATTTCAAAACACAGCAGCAGCCGATGTTTACCATGATGATGATTCGTGTGACGTTGAAGGGAACGTTGATCAGGACTGGGACGGTTTCTGCAGTCCTCCGGTTCATTCATCCGTCATGTTTTCATTTATTACAAGTGTAGAACGGATGTTGTGTGCTGTGTTGGAACATAAACCTGCAGCCTGTTTGCATCCATGGTGACCATGCTGGGCTTCTCATGCAGGTCTGTTGAACACTAAGCTTGTTCCTCTGTTCCCCTCGCCTTATTCTGGTCCCATCAGCCTCCTGGGAGTGGCTGATGACAGGCGACAGGAGTACGAAGGGACACCGTAACAACCCAGGTTTACATAACAGGATAGATCTCATAAAGAGCAGCTGGGAGCAAGTTCACTGCCTCTCAACCCCTTATTCATAAAACTGACATGTGACTGAAGTGGCGGTGTTAAAGTCTGGTATTTTAACTGCTACTGAAATCACACCCCTAGTAGTTTGGAAGCAGGAGCACTTTGGAGTCATTTAGCTGGCTACTGAACATGCATGCTCCTTCTGCTGGGTGTAAATGTTAGCTTTCTGGGTAATGTCTGCGTGCAGCGTCTGAGGTCGATGTGAGAACCCGTCATCAGGGGCTGAATGAGATGATTGTTGTGCCAAGCGCAGACCGCAGCGGTAAGCAGCCCTCAGTGCAGTGAGATGACATCACGCTGCAAAATAGAGCAAAGCAGCATGCGTGTGCAGACATGCCCTGCAGCCAGCACAGCAGAAAAACCCACGGCAGACACTATGAGGGGGTCTTTGGCCTGTTGGAAACACTGTTCAGGAGTTTCACACCAAAAACACGTTACCCTGCAAAGTAACACCTTCAGTCACGCTAGAGTAGTTCTGGTTAATTAGCAGGTGTGATTTCAGGTCTTGACCTGGTACATTTCTGGTTAATATTTTTAACAGATCACATGTTCTTCTTCTGGGGGATTTTTTTTTTTCTCTGAAGTTAGGAGCAGAGACACATTTCTATTGGTCCGCTGGATGTTAGCAACATTTTATTGGTCATCAGAAAGTGTTTGGGTTTGGCTTGAAATAAAGAGAATCTGATCTGGGAAACACAATTTTTAAAAGAAAAAAAACACATAACAAACCTAAGAGAAAGAGAAATCTGTATTTAATTTTAGAATATAACATCTGTCAAAATAATTTTTCAAAAAATAAGTTTTAAAAATAGAATTTTAAAAACGAAATTCTAAGTCAACAGCGAAGTTACGAATGAAACCTTATTTTGGTAAAGAAGTTTTTCAGTGGTTCCCTCTGATTTATTTTTATTTTTTTTTCCAAATTTCCATTGACAAAACATGTTCTTTAGAACAATAGTGGAACAAAATTCACTCCGTAGCCTGACGGAACAATAACCAGATACTCTTGGTGACTCTGGAGGAGTTGCAGAGCTCCTCGGCTCAGGTGGAGAACCTAAAGAAATCCGTTTTCTGCAGCGTGGCGAGAGTCCTCAGCTGTTTAAGGTGACGTCTGAGGATTCTTCTCTTGTGCTGCGGAGGGAGGAGCTCTCTACCTGCTAAATTCTTTATGAAGCAAAGATCTGACCCCATGGACAAACTGTCCCCACTATGAAACACGGCAGTGACAGCATCATGCTGCAGAGCAAATCTGAAAGGAAAATCTTAGGCACATTTTATTTTCCTTAAAAAATGAAATCACAGTATCTGTGTCCAACCTCCTCATCTCCCAGTTTAATCCACTGGGAGGAGGAGGATGATGATGATGATGATGATGATGATCAGACCTCCCTTCTCGCCTTAGATGAGAAACATCACAGAGACATTAATGAAACCCTTGGAGAAGTTCAGGAAGGAGCAGCTGGGCACCGTCAGGGTAGGTTGAACTTTCTCAGCTTTTTTTGATGGAAACCAGTTCATGACTCTGACTGCAAACCAGTCATTTGAGTCATGCTTCTCCTAAAGTCTTGAGTTGTTTTGTGTTTGTTTTGTTTCTCTGAAAGGCGGAAAGAAAAAGGTATGAGAAGGAGACGGAGAAGTACTACGGCTCTCTGGAGAAGCTTCTGAACATGTCGGCGAAGAAGAAGGAGCCGCAGCTGCAGGAGGTATTTCCCTTCGCTCAAACTCTTCCACCTGCAGCTCCGCTAGTTTCCTTTCCCACATCGAAGAGAAAGAGAAGTTTCTCGTTTTCCTGCTGTGGTTCTGATAGACCCATTTTCTTGACCCTGACCTACTGGAGCGCCGTGTCAACAGTGTCATCTTCTCTGCAGCCTGTTTGTTTCTCTGCCACTCATAGCTCAGAGGCTCCTGTCTGCAGACTGACTGTTACAGGCTCATTCTGCAGTGAAGCAGGCACGGCTTCGCTGACACTGAGCCCGGTTCTGGTTCTTGAAGTTTTACCCAGTCAGTTCCTTTAATTGGAGGTGGAGCTTTGAGACAAACCATGGGAATGGTGCTTTATGAATAAACTTAATCGTTCAGATGTGACCCAAAGAACCAAATTGCTTCACATATGAGGTGAAACCCAGGATGGACTCGGGATCATTGGAGCGTCCATCAGGACGAGACGTCTCTCCGTCTCTACTGAATCCAAATAATCTGATTATCAGCCATTCCTCAACAGACATCCTTCTCTTTCATGAACAAACAGTTTCAATAAAATTGAATGAATTGGAAAAAAAAATAATGAAAAAATAGGAAAGTTTTTCTAAAAACAAAAAAAAACAAAAGCTAAATGACCTCATTGGCAATTTCAACAGAATCTATCCTCTGGGTTTAACCATCCCATGAGGAGCAGTCTGGCTCTGTGGGGATGAAGCACAGAGCAATAAAAACATCCCTGCATTACATGCAGTTATTAAACGGCTAAAATATATTATTTTCAGTTCTTTTTAGGGGAATGCTGATCTTTTGTGTCTGAATGCTCTGATGCATTATGGAGTTTGATAGAAACACAACTTGATACTTAATGGTTTTAGAAAGCATCACTAACGTTCTGCTGAGCTGAAGTCCTGGTTTGCTGCAGCAGGTTTGAACCTGTTTGAACCAGAGGCTGATTTTTCTTTCCTGTCTTTCTCCAAACCTTAAGGTTCACGTTGACACTGTCCCGTCCGACTCGACTCTCCTCCTGATTCGTGCTTCCTTTGACCTCCTCCTTTTGTCTTTCCTGCCAGGTGTCTGTGTTGAAGTAAAGTAATGTGGTTGCTCATCGTAGAGAGTAAAGAGGCAGAGCTGTTATTTAAAGATATTTGTATCTGGACTTTACTCAATAATCTCATCCTAGCAGCTGCAGCCAGAGCGTTTCTTCCTCTCCTCCTGTCTGTAATCATCATGATGTGTGTTCTCCACCTCTCCAGGCAGACAGCCAGGTGGAAACCATGAGGCAGCACTTTCAAGAGGAATCGCTTGAATATGTTTGCAAGCTGCAGGAGATCCAGGAGAGAAAGAAGTTTGAATGCGTGGAACCGGTGAGTGACTTTCCACAGAGTGGATGTGGCTCCGACTAGCAGAGCGGGAGCCCTAACCTGTTCAGCAGATGTTTCTCTAAGTTCTGAGTCAGCACATAGCTCCATGAAACATCAATCCTAAATCAGTCTTTATATCATTTCTGGACACATTCAGGTAAATTAGCACATGTTAAAACAGCCAGTGGAAAAAAAGGGGCTGGGATCATGTCCTTCTAGTTTGTTTCCTTCCTTTGCTACCTCCCCCGCTTAACTTTTTATTGCCAACTGCAAACAGCAAGTTGCTTTATCACCTCCATGGACTGATGTTTCCTTAATCTTTTAGTTATCGTCCAGCAGCGTGGACTCTGTCTTCTCAAACCTGATTTAAAAACAAAAAAAAAGGTGTCTGTGGTCCCCAGCTGGAGTCTGGGAGCCAATCAACATGTGATCAAACAAAATCAATCTGTCAAAATTAAAAAGTTACACATAAAGGATCCATGTGGTTAAACTACCGTGTCGTAGGCATGCGCATCGCTAGGTAAGGCTACGATCGGTATGCAGCAATCTAATCGCTACGTAACGTTCTGATTGCTAGGCAGTGTTGCCAGTAATATGCCCGTCAATGTTCTTCTTAGCTTGCAGATACAGGCCGTTTCCTAATTCTCTAGAATGTGAATACGGACTCGTGTCCTCGCCAAGTATGTTCTAGAGAAGAACTCAGGAAAGTATGGACTTGGGGAGAACGGGAGCACGCAGTATAGATATGGGTCAATTTGAACAGAAGCGTACTCGTGACGTCACCACACGCCCGGCTCGTCTAGAGCTGTATTTCACCTCCTGTTATTAATAGTCTCTAGATAATAATTAATTATTCCTTTTTTATATTGTGGGGGAATAATAATGAATACAGTCGGATAAAAACTAATCAAATGAACATTTTGCCAAATAAAACAGAAAACTGCGGACGGGCAGCGGTTAGCCCTGGCTGCCGTTAGCCTCGGAGGTCCGCTGGTTGCCGCGGTCCTCTCAACTTCGCAAAAAGTTTTTTTAAATTACACATTAAATCGGTAAGTAGACCATATGATGATGCTTTAAAGTATAATATTCTCGCCTCAAATGATTTTAAAACGTACTTTTATTGAACAACAGCAACAGAAAAGAGAACTTTTAACTTTCAATGGCGCGCTGCTGCCGCAGTGCATGCTGGGACAGCTGTCATTTTCAAGAACAGACAAGTCTGCTCTGATGCATGCTGGGTAAAGAGGGAGGGGCGAGAACAATATCCGTGGACTTTGTCTGTTCTCTGTGTGCTGTTCTTGTGAATTGGAACAGTACAGGCTGATGCTGATGAGGTTTCCCAAGCACATGAGAGCGCACAAGTTCACATATTGAGAAACGGCCACAGGTTACTAGCCTCGTGAGACCATCCTGATCTCACGAGCTTTCAAGGTTTCACTCGCTAATCAGTCTGGAGACTCTCCGTTAAATAAAATTTGGAGCCGTTCACCAAACGAACGTCCAATCAGCGTTGGCTCTGAGGCGGGTTGAGATGTGACGCAACGAGAAGCGCGACAGTTCAGTCTAAAGAACATGGCGGCTTCAGCCGATGAAACTAGCTTTAGCGTGGCTATCGAGCAAAGAAGAGCAAAACACTGCTCTGAAGGCTTTTCTCAGAGGAAAAGATGTTTTTGCTCTTCTCCCGACTGGTTTCGGCAAGAGTAGCCTGGCTTGTGGTTGTGTTTTCGTCGTCGCTCTGTTAGTACGTCATATGCTTCATTGATCTGATTGGTTTATTTGGCCCGTCTATCACCAACATAGGCCAATCAGCTAACCAGTATTTTCGCCCCTTCCCAAAATTACTTCAATGGAAGGTTTCCAGATGGATATGTGGAGCAAATCCATCTGGAGGAGTCAGGTTAACAGGCTACATCAGCGAAGCTAATTTAGCTAGTGCTTCTGATTAGGGTTGAAACGATTGATCAGATTACACATGATCGAATGAATGTTGAAATAATCATCAACTAATTCAGTAATCAGTTAATCGTTAACTGGAGGATAGAGAGACTAAAACGTGACTTTAGCTCACAGACTGACCCACTTAGAGCCGCAACTCTACCAAAATTGTAAAAAAAAAATATCTTGGTTCAATTTCATAAAAACTCTTCTTTGCTATCCGATTGTTGATTAATTAAAGAAATTATCGAGAGATTAATCAATTTGCAAAATAATGGTTGGTTGCAGGCCTACTTCTGATATTTCTCTCAGTAGAACGTTTCTTTTCAATATGTCTGCATCTTATAGTAGAATAAGCGATAATTCCCTTGTGGTTATTAATCATAATATCTGACTGTGCAGAGATGTGCTGAATCAGAACAACTCTTTTAATCACTGACGTCTCTTTATTAAATGTTATTATTATAGTTTATTTAATGGATTAAAAGTGACCAGAGCAGTTTTCTGTCATTTTCATTACTAAACATGCTGAAGTTTATTTAAACTCAGTCAGTCTGTTTTTTCAGATTTTTTTTAGAAGGGCACTGTTGTAAAATCTATGCTTTGTAAGGTTCAGCAAAATGCAAAAATGTTTCAACTGATATTCGCAAGTCCAAAAAATTGCAGGTGACTTTGTGGCAAAGACAAGCTCCCCCTCAAACCACGTCTTCTGCTCTGCTGGTAATATTGTCAACCACCTGCAAACGCTGCTAAACCAAATAAAGAATGACATACTTGGTTGTTATATTTTTTTTTGTCCAAAATATGTAAGAGTCGTCCAGTGGAAAAATCTTTTCCAGTTGTTTTGACTGTTATGAGGCATTTTTGACCATTATTCATTTATTTATGTGAATGAGCAAAATTGAACAGACTGAAAACTGGAGCAGTGATTTTTTTTTTCTTTTAAGGAAAGCGCACAGCTTCACTGGAGGAGAGAATTTCCCTTCCTTATGTTCTTTTTTTGTTTAATTTCAATTTTTTTATGTTAAAGTCAAGACAGCTGCAGTCTGTGTCTGCCATTTACAGCGTAAGGTTTTCTTTTTTGCTGTTTTTCTTTTTTGTCATGGGCTTCTTCTTAATCCAAAAAAGAAGAAAATCCCTCTTAATAAACGATTGCTAAAGGACTGAGTCTATCATCAATTGTCTATAGATTAATCTAATCACCCAACCTTAGTGCTTTTAGACACTATTCTTTCCTTTTACCCAAAATTAAATGACCATTAAAAGCTATTCAATGACCTTCAGTTTGATTATAGTTTGGAGCAAGAAGGTCTCAGCTTGGAGATGATTTGGACCTAAATCACAGAAATCATTTCTTTCCTGCCGTCAAAAAGAAAGCCTGACGTTCTGGATGCATTCAAAGCAGGACGTCAAATGGAAATGCTCTCTTGTATCAGTTGCCGTCCCAGAATAGGACCAACTGTGTCTGAATGATCTGTCTGGGTTTAATGAACTTGTTTTTGTTTGATATTTTTCCCTAGATGCTGGCCTTCTTTCAGACCATGTTCACCTTTTATCACCAGGGATTCGAGCTTGCCAAGGACTTTGACCACTATAAAAGAGCGCTGCAGATCAATATTCAGAATGTAAGAAAAAAACACATTTCCTGGATGAACAAATGATTTCAGTTGCTCTCGAAGGAAGCTCCGCCTCCATCACAAACAAACATAAAATATAGAAAGCTATTCCTTTTCTCCTGTTAGTTAGCTTCAACTGGTTATTTACTCTTTGGACTTTCAGAACAAGTTTATTGGAGAATTTAGTTTTTTTTTTCTGAAAAACCTGTGCATGCTTTTCCAATACGTGGGCCTCCTGATAGGAGGGTCATCACTGAGCCACTTCCTGGAGTGTGTCTTTGCTTCCTGTCCCTCCCAGACAAGGAGTCGATTCGAGGGCACGCGGTCAGAGGTGCATGAGCTGATGAAGCGGATCAAAGACACCCCCCACGAGTACCGCCAGACCAGCCCCATCAGCTTTGAAGGTTACCTCTACGTGCAGGAAAAACGTAAGAGATGGGTGAAGCACGTGTTGATTTCCCTTTCTATTCATACATATTCGGGAGATTTCTCATGTCAGAACAGTCAAACTTCAGTTATTTTAAGCAGGATTTTATATTATAGTTAACCCTTTAATCATTAGTGGTGAAGTGGAATGAAAATAAACCTTTTTATGGATGGAAATCTGAAAAGTGTGGTGTGCATTTGCCACCTTTTTGTGTTTTTGCTGCAGTTTTGCATCTGAGAAACATGATTGTTTGGTAATTATTGGTCTAAACCCCAGCATTTAGAGTTTGTGTCTATGTGGATGATGTTCTCCTTAGTGAGGCCGCTCATTTGGCCTCATCAAACCTGAACAGCTTCCGTCACTTTGAGGAAGCAGCCGACCAAACGGTGAAATGCCTGTGATTGGCTACTTTTTAGGAAATCTGGCCTCTTGACAGGACGGTTTACTTCCTAGTTGTAGCTAATAACATTAGCAATGCATCTTCAAGCTCATCACTGTTCTTTTCAAGAGTTGAACTCTGACTTCATGTCCAGCACCTCCGTCATCTGCAATCAGCAACCTGAGTCCACTTTGACATCCTGCCCAAATTGATTGCAGTGCTAAAAGATTTCCTTATTTGTCAAACCAGAGCCAGAGTATAACTTCACATAATGCTTGACATTCCTCATGTTAGGGAAGAAAGTGCTTCTTGTAGGAGTTGTCATAAAATACAACTTGTTTCTCGTAATTTTAGGGCTTTATTCTCTTAATATTATGGCTTTATTGTTGTAATTTTATGACTATTCTCATTGTGACTTTCTCTCGTAATATTATGACTTTATTCTCGTAATTTTACGACTTTGTTCTCCTAATTTTACAACTTTATTATCGTAATTTTATTACTTTATTCTCATAATTTTATGACTTTATTTTCGAAACAGAAGAAAAAATACCTCTTGTCTGGCTCTATTACTCTTTCGTACAAAGTCATGTCTGTGATAAACGCTATAAACTAAAAGTTATTCAATGATGACTACAATTTTTAACTCCTTAAGAGAAAAGTAGCCAAATTAAAATAAAGAAAAGTTGATATGAGGGCAAAGAAACATTCCACCAACGATTGGTAGAAGACTACAGATGCATAAAAAGCAAGAGAGCAGAAACGGAGCATGAACTCATAGTTGTGATGGATTTGGGGTCTCATGGTGCTGAATTTGTGTTTATAAAATGTAAAAAAAGTAGTTTTTGTGCTTGTGTTGTAAATAAAACTGTGCATATGTGATTTATTATTTCAAACATAGACATTAGCTAAAAACAAGCAGCTGCTGTCACTGTGCAGATCAGCTGTTAAATGAGCCGTTCTCAAAAATGAACCCGCCGATCAGAAACAGTGGCGTAATGTTTACTGAGGAGGCGCAGCGTGGTCACCGCAGGTGCTTCCTGCTTTATATAGAAAGATGGCTGCTTACTTTGAGGACATTGAGGGGCTGCTGCTCAGACATGCATGAATCAGGTGAAATATTACACTCTAAGGCAATCCGAGGGAGCTAGAATGTTTTAAAACGGAAAAGTAATATTAAAATAAATTATATAAATGATTTAAAACAGAAAATATGTGTTAATAACTAGAATTTCTCCCAACAGATCTGTATAGTGTGCTGACATAAACAACTTTGATCAGTGAATTATTATTTTTTTTTAAACGGTCTCATAAAAGTAAATATCAACAATATATAACAGACATTTCACATTTCCCCCAGTTTCTGAATGCAGCAGCAGTGAATATTTTTTTCAGGCACCTAAATGGTCACCAGGCCCACTCTGATTGCAGAGCTTACAGCAGTTTGAAAAAAGAATCTGAAACGAAAAAATGAAGAAACTTAAATGTTTTTTTTTCAATTTCTAATCTTTTTTTTTTTTCCTGCCCTGGTTAGAAAACTTTAACACTCCTGGATTAATGTTGTCTGATTTGTTAAGGACCCCCTCCCTTCGGTTCAAGCTGGGTCAAGCGCTACTGTACGTTTGTGAAGGAGCAGAAGATCCTGCACATGGTGACTTTTGACCACCGATCCGGTGGAAAGATTGTGAGTGATCACAGCTCTGCCTCCATCTGTAAAACGTTTCCTCCATAACAGCCGTTCTTATTGTAAATGATAAACACGTTTCAGGGGGAGACGGAGTCCGTCACGCTCAAGTCCTGCGTCCGCAAACCAACAGACATGTTGGACAGGAGGTTCTGCTTTGACCTGGACATAACAGACAGGTTTGTTATCAGTTTAAATTCTCTGGAAGAGCAACTTTAGGAAGGGAAACTTGTTTTTTATCACTTTATCAGATTAATGGCACCATTTCCTCCTCTTGTGGCCAAACAGTAGGAAACATCCAATATCCATAGAGCTCATATAAAATTACTCCAACATGAAGAGGTCACCTCCTCACATCACCACATCCTGGACTGCAGAGTGTAGAGCTTATCCCAACCTGCAGGACCAAATCAATCCTGTCAGACAGTCGTGACAGTGGATATTTAAACCATATGGAGGCTCTGAGAGGGCGTAGTAAATTCTGTGTGTCTTTCTGCTCTGTAACTACGGTTTGTCTCATGCTAACGTAGCATAATTCTCCCTCAGGCCCGGGACGGTGCTGACTGTTCAGGCCCTGTCAGAGGATGACCACAAGCTGTGGATGCAGGCCATGGGTGGGAAGGAGCCTGTGAGTCACACACAGCAAAACCGGCTGGGTTTAACCATCCATCCAACCAACAAACCAACTAACTATCCATTCATCCATTCATTCATCCATCATTTCAAACATCTGTCAGTCCATCCAGGAAGAATTCTTAGAAGAATTCAACTTTTTTGTCATTACATTGTCACAAGTACTGAGCAACTAAATGAACTCTCTGCATTGAACCCATCCCCTTGGGGAGCAGTGGGATTAAAGGAATAGTACACCCAAAACATGATTAGCCTTCATTTTCTACTCACCCCCATGCTGAACAACACTCTGGAGTACTTTTTTGATATCTCAAATGCATCTGGAGATCTGGGAGGCTTCTTGCTGTCTGCTGACATTCAAATAATGGAGGTCTATGGCGCTCGAGGCAGAAAGGTCCATAAAAGTCCACAAAAAACGTGTCAATATTCCTCCATACTGCTCGTCCAATGTATTCCAAGTGTCCTGAGTGGGTAGCATCCAGAATTTACTCGAAACGAAGTCTTTTAGAATGTTTTTAGAGCATAAACAGTAGTGTATAGGATTTCCTGAAAGCGCGTTCACGAGTCTACGGAAACCGCGGCAGACCAAACCAGATGAAAGTGCGCATTCAGCTCGGCAAAGAACTCATGCTCTTCCTCAACACTGAAGTCCTCAGACATTTTTCTTTCGTTGTTTCTTTCTTTGCACAGGTAAACAGCACATTTCTTCTTCTACGCTTGCATTATTGGCAGAACAGGCGCTGAATGCGCACTTTCATCTGGTTTGGTCTGCCGCGGTTTCCGTAGACTCGTGAACTCGTAGGCGCGCGCTTTCAGGAAATCCTATACACTACTGTTTATGCTCTAAAAACATTCTAAATGACTTCGTTTCGAGTAAATTCTGGATGCTACCCACTCAGGAAACCACTAGGCTGCCACTCCCCTGAGCTGTTTTTGTTGCTTTTACAAATATTGGCAACATTTAGAGATAATGAATATTGATTAGATTTCAATCATAATCATCTAAATTAACAGAGGAGAGCAGAAACTGCATCTGATCTATGCATTTCTTTAAGTCATTAACTATTAAGATGAACCTGCATAACCAGTTTAGTTTATAACATTTTTTTTATAACTTTTTTCCAGACTGGTTATCTTGGAGTGACTCTGTCTAAAGAAAGAGGAAGTAAGTTCTCAGCAGCTCTGAAGTCTGTAACATGGAGCAAAATGATCTTTTTAATCTCCTGTTTTCTCCACATGTAGTCGATGCCCAGTTGGATGAAATGGGTTTAACTTTTGTGAAGAATTCAATCATTGCTATTGAGACCAGAGGTGAGTGTCAAACATCTTGAAATCATAATAGAACAGGTTTCATCTGGATAACTTTAGCCTAGAAAATCTGCATCCGTCATCAATCCAACAAATGATTAATTAGATCATTTATTCACATGTTAAATTGAACTATGATTATTATAACTGAATAAACATTAGAAATATTCTAGGAAATGTCAGTAACACTTAAGTACTGAGTAAATAAATACCGTAATTTTTAGACTATAAGCCGCACCTGAATATAAGCTGCAGAAGCTAAATTGCTTGATTTGCACCGGACTCTAAGCTTCAGGTTTTTTATTTTTAATTACCATATGGTTCGTGCACAGAGAGGATTGTCGGGAAAGAGGCAACTGTTTGGGGAACCTATTTATTATTTCTATCGGTACGTTTGTTTTCCAATTAGGGTGTCACACAAAATGTCTTGCGCTTGCAATGTCCGTCTTTCTCGCTGTTGTTCTGTCTCGTACAGTAGAAGTAGAAGTCTGCTTCCGGAGGACCTCCGCATTCCCGCGCGCGCGGCTTCTTGTGTGTTGAAGCAAATGTGACGTCAACATGGTGGATGGTAAAATCCATAGATTTAGGTATTACCCTAGTGGCCGTTAGCTGTAAACGTCCATAGATAAGCCGCAAGGTCGAAAAATGGGGGAAATGTCGTGGCTTATAGTCCAAAAATTACAGTATTCCTGATTCTGTCTTCCAACAATCCTTCAGGAAATCATAAAAACTTCAGCTAGACCCAAATATCTGATCGGTTAACCTGCCCTGTGTCAATCAGCAGGTTAATATAGTTAACCCTTTAAAGCCTGGACCATGAAATACTTGATAGAAAATGTAATTTTTGAAAAAAAAAAATATAAAGATGTCAATGTCATTGAACTTTTTGACAAATTAAATAAAAAAAACATTTCCTATAAGTTAAATTAGATCATTTATTTGCATGAATTTTGATACGTTAGGCATTTCTGTATCATCCTTTACGTTTTCCGTTCACTACAAGTGTCTGATTCTTTAAGTACGCGGTTTTTAAGAACAAATATATCAAACTGATGATGCAGAGGTATCAGAAACTCGCATATCAAATATGATCCACTTGGCTTTAAACAACAGGTCAGTTGGTAGATCAGCAGTGCTATAAAGCAGATGGATCATGTAGAATCCACTTATTTATCTGTCAAATAAGAACATTTTCATTTATTTCCATATGTTTTCTTTCTATATAGTTTGGTTCATATTTTTCAATGCATTTCATTTTGTCTATAGCCTAAAGTGCCGTTTATAAACAAACATTTACTTATTTATTTAAATAACAGTTACTTTTTTTTCTTGATTCTGTTTGTTTGTTTGAAGCAACTTCTTTTTTGATTGATTTTGATTTCTATCAAATAAAACCTTTTCAATCAAAGAAAAGCAGTGTTCAAATGTATTTTTTTTTAGTCTCAAATATATTTTTGCATTTAAAGACTTTTTTTCTTTGATTGAAAAGTTTTTTTTACATTGAAGTGAAGATTTTCTTAATTAAAAATATATTTTTTGATTGAAGCAACCTTTTTTTTGATTGAATAATAAAGAAACAAATCTACCTTCATAGAGCCGAGCCAGTTCGGGGTTTGTAATTATTGGCAGCCAGGTTTTTGGTGGGTGTAATGGGTCTATTTGTACACAAGGGGGCAGACTTTCTCCAGCTATAAGCAAGCGTTATGTGAACAGGTGCAGCAAGCAGCTTGGATGTTCAAATTATGTAAAACATTTTAGTCACATAGTTTGCTTTTTCTCTTTTTTTATATATTTTAGAGCAGTTTTGTTTATTTAGTCTAATGACAAAAATTTTGTTTATTTAAATAATTTCTCTTTATGTTCTGATTAGTCTTTCCCTGTTATTCATTAGGCATTAATGACCAAGGTCTGTACAGAGTTGGGGGAGTAAGCTCCAAGGTCCAGAAGCTTCTGTCATTGATGATCGGTGAGTGACATCATGTTTCATCTCTTTAGTCTGCAGATGGTTTTCTTTTTCTTTTGAATAAAAGCTGAAGTTTTCCTGCTGATTGTTGTTTGTTGGAGGCTTTTATAAAAACATGAGCTAATCTTAAACACTCGTCTTTAAAGCAACTAGTAGCAGAGTCCCTCCCGGTCACCCAGACCCTGTTCGGCTCACTTATTGATATTCCTCAGCCTGTTTGGGTTCTGCCCATCAACACCCCACTAAGCCAGCCTCTCCTGCCCTCATGACAGGCTCATTCTGTCAGCTGCCTTTCTCAATCACCTTTATGCCTCTCACTTGTCTGTATTCCCTTTCAACCAACCTCTTACCTTGTCCTCTGTCCTTTCTGTAGCTCTCTGTCGGCGCTGTGGTATCCTGCTGTCTCCAGCAGACACCAGCTCGCTTTCAGCTCTGTGTTCGGAATGACAACGAACTCAGGCAGCCGCCAGACTGTCTCAGCTTCGTCTCTCAAACCCTCCAGTCTGCCAACCTGCCGATTCATGCTGTAGACACCATTAACACTTTGCTGCAGAAACTTTGACGATAATCAGACTGTAAAAGTTCCCAAAGTTTTGAGCCCCAGTCTTGGTTTTCCAGTGCTGCATAGATTGTTGTTGGAGAGGGGAAATTATTCTATAATTGTGTCCATCTTTTCCAGAGTCGGTAAATAAACACAGTTTACACCAAGCAGCTCCTTCTGAGTGTGTGAAGGAAGCTTTAGACCCCAAACAATGACCTGAGCTTCTTCCACCATCCCGTTTCATCTTAGTCATAAATGTGTCTCACTGTTCATTAGAAAACAGGAAGGTAAGCGGCCGCTTTGGATGGACAGGCAGTAGTATGGTGGGAGGGAACGAGTCAGGGTGAGCTGTGCTGCACAGAAACTGGATGGAAACCTTTTACAGCATCAGCCTATAAAGGCAGCAGAACCTCACCTTCTTTAGTTAAGAGTAAAAGTCTCCCACATGACGACCAGTTATAAGGCTCCCGGCATCAGCGTAGAATAATCTGATTCAGGTGTCAATGGTCTAATAGAACTGCACGTATTGAGCACTTTTCTGTTATCCTTATCCGGACCGGGTTGTTGGAGCCTTTTCATTTCAGATCTGCATTAATCATGGAGATTCAAGATGTCAGAAAACCCACCTGATAGACTGTGTGTACAGTGGCATGATAGGAAGGTCCCTGCGGGTTTAATCTGCTCCAGATCCATGATGAGTCTGTTTTTCCATCACATCCAGAAGGTGCTTCGATCCAGAGCTGCTGAGCGCCGCACCCATTCACCGCCAACAGCCGCTGTCCTGTTGGAATCAGTGTGTAACAGCTTGTAGAGCTGACAGTCATCGGCATAGAGTGTAAACACCAAACAGGTTTTAAAAAGCCTTAAATTTCAGTGTGCGAGTGTGTGCGTGAATGGATGAATTACTCAATGTAGTGTAAAGTGCTTTGGTCAAGTCCTAAGACTTGAAAAAGCACTATATAAATACAGCCCATTTTCTATTTTAAATCTACATAAAAATATAACCTTAAAGGAATCGTGAGTAGTGAAATATGTTGACCTAAATGTTATGTAATTTTTCTATTAATTAAAAAATTTTGATATGCAACTACGGTAATTTTTGGACTATAAGCCGCACCGGACTATAAGCCGCAGGTTTTTTATGTTTACACACAAACTGTCTTGCACTCGCAATGTCCGTCTTTCTCACTGTCGTTCTGTCTCGTACCACTCGCGGTAGAAGTCTGCTTCCAGAGGACCTCCGCATTCCCGCGTGCGGCTACCGTACTTGTGTGTTGAAGCAAATGTGACGTCAACATGGTGGATGGTAAAATCCATAGATTTAGGTATTACCCTAGTGGCCGTTAGCTGTAAAAGTCCATAGATAAGCAGCATTGTTATATAAGCTGCAAGGTCGAAAAATGGGGAAAAAGTCGCGGCTTATAGTCCGAAAATTACAGTATATCAAAGATTATATATCCTTTGTTAGATTATTTTAACCCCTGAAGGTCTGCATTTTTTCACCTCCCCAGTGCATGCTGGGTAAACGATGATCAGGTCTGATTGGACTGAAACCTACAGAGTAAACACAGGAAGGCTTACAGTAGCAGAGCTGTTTTTTAAAGTTTTGCATTTGGTGTAAATTCAGACTCATCCTTTCTGCCTCCGTCGCTCATTAATCTGAGCAGAGAGCTGCTGTTCACTGAGGGACGGAGTTTTCTGGGAACTGGAACGACGACAGAATTTTTCTAAAGTTCAGGTACAGAAAAGATGTTGATGGAGAGCTGGGATGGTTCAGCAGTAGCCTCGTTAGTGAGCAGTGATCTTTAAAACCCACTGCCTGATTGGGCATCCATCAGAACTCTGTAGCAGATTACAGTTAATCTACTCTTCCTTTAGCAAATCAAAAGTAACTCAAAGTTAATCGGTTTCCAAAATGGCTTGTTGATTCCAAAGGGAAACTAGACACAGTAATAACTGTTTCTTTTTGGGGTTTTTTACCAGTTGTTTTAGGTGTTGGTAGCTGTAGGGAGAGAGGATCTTGCTAATCAGCCCGTCTTTCAGACTGAAGACATTTGTTCTTTAACAGTCTGAACAGAGCTGCCATCTCTATCAGCCTGCTGCGCTTCTTTAAGTACAAGTAGTTGGACTTCCTTCTGGAACTCATTAGTTAACATTTTGTGTTTCTGTAAACTGTTGTAGACCTTTATTTCTTGTTTGGTTTTACATTTGGGATGGGACTGATCCTGCAACTGTCTGGTTATTTACCTCAGTCCAGCTCAGGAAGTCTCCTTCAGCTCCTCCGCTGACCAGACCTGCTTTGTTTCCCACTCAAAGCTTCCTTCTGACTCACTGCGTTTCCACATCTTCACTAATTCATGAGTTTTCTTGAGGTATGACTGCAGCTCCCTGAAACTCCAGCACTGCACACCTCTGAAGTCCCCGTGGATTCAGACAAGCAGAAAGGGATTAATTAAACTTATAATGAGTGTAGAACTAGCTGCTCTCTACAAAGCTGCAGCTTCTCCCCTCATCTGCTGGGAAAACCGTCGGTCCCCCGAGCCGCTAACAATGCTTTTATCCTCAGATGACTAATTACGTGTTCATATTTATATTACATGTTTGGAAGCTCTGCTCTGGCCATTAAATAGGCCAGCTAGCCCTCTGTGTATCGTATGAACAGAATAGTTTCTCTGCTCCTCGGATAAGTGAGGCTAAAGTAAAGATTTGCTGAATGTTTTGTTTAGATGAGAAGAGTAACGAAGTGGATCTCTCAGCCAGTGAAGACTGGGACGTCAAGACGATAACCAGTGCGCTGAAGCTCTACCTGAGGTGAGACTGAAACACGCCGACTTTAAACCACTGCACTCATGCAGGGGAGCTTATTCTGAATAAGTGCTCAAATGATTCATCAAATGAATCATTTTGATTAATCATTGAAATAACCAGCTACTAATTTGTTCTGAGTAACAGGAGACGGACCAAAATCTGCCATTTGATGAAAGAATAACCTCCTCACTGTTGTGATAAAAAGACAAAAAATATAAACCTTTTCCATTTCAGAATAAAAATAACAAAAGATACATTAAATAAATTGATTAAAAATTATCAAAATTATCATGAATACAAAATGTAAGATGAATTAAAAACAAATTAATCAAAAAAACACATGGCTGATATAGCTACAAATCTAAATCGTTTTTTTTTTTCTACTTTCAACCAAATCCAATTTTTTCTCTTTTTTTTATCCCCATTTCTCATCAGTGTCATGGTATAAAAGGACATAAATGACCTTTCAAAATGATACCATATATCAGTCATCCGCTTCGGGAAGCGTCCTTTATCTTTAACAAGTGATTAAAATGTAACTCAGAATGTTTCTAGCTGGTGGTATCACACAATATATTAGTTATAAATAAATATCTATGATCAAAAAGCGATGAACTGATGTCACCCTGAGCTATGGAAGCCTAAGGAGGCCAAAGTTTGGGGGTTAAATTTAGATTTTTCAAAAAATTTTATCTATATAAACTACAAAATCAGTTAATCTATAAATCACCCTGCCTTAATATAGATATATAAGTGTAAATAGACACTTATAGACGGATAGAAAAAAGGTTTATGTACATATATTTTTTTTACATGTTTTGCCATTTATAACTCATTTAAAATGTGCAAAACAGTTTTCACATTTTTCACCATTTATGTAGAAATGGCAATTCCCTAAAAATTCCTTTTTTTGTTATTAATCTTTAATTAATTTCAATTAATTAATCAAAACCCTAATAAATAGATGATTACTGAAATAACTGATTGCTGATCCCAGTGAAACTCTTTAGCTGAATTGAATTCTAACAGGAATTGGTTTCCGTTAACGATCTAGTCCTCTCTGTGTCTCTGATTACAGCCTCAAATCTTACATGTCTTTGCTCTACTTTAAATTCTTCCTCAGCCTAAAATTTTCTCAGTTTTTGTTTTAGCTTCAGTTCCTTCTGCTTTTACTAGTTATTGTTAAGATTAATCAAATGCCTTTTCCATCCTAAAATTAATCAGGTGGAGGTTTGTTGAGCTTTGCTCCTGCAGCAGAAAGTACTGTGAAAGTACTCAAACTTACAAAGTATACATATTCTGTAGTAAATAGATTCTAATTGATAGATGGATGTTGAACATTTTCCTGTTTGTGTTCATCAGTGATCATACTGCATTTTATACTGCATAAATGTGCAGGTCCGACATATGGAGGGGCACTTTTCATATGAGGAGCAAAAGTTAGAAAATCAAAATGTTTGGGAAATGTTTGCTTATAAAAATGCTACCAGGCAGGTAAACTTTTATAGTCCAAAACAACATCTATTATTTTATATTAAGTACAACTTCAAGGGAGGATAATTATTTAACCTTTCACTGTCGTACAGTTTATCTGAAACATCAAAGCTCAGCGTTGCTTGGTATTAATTAACCTGTTATTAGGAGGCTTTGATGTCCTTTTCATTTTAAGGAGGCCAGTGTTGGGAGTTACTTTAAGCAGTTAAAATGTCGAGGCGAGTATATCTTCATTGGTGCAGATCGAGCGTCTGCATGTGATTGATGTACCGTAATGTTCTCAGATTGAGGATTTTAGCCTGGGCTCAGTTTGGATGCCCAATGGCAGATTTAGATCTGATCAGTAATCTGATTACATGTGCAGCGGCATCGGGGATGTAGAGAGGAAAAGCTGAAGCACCATTTCACGGGCGGATCTGTCAGATACTAATTTGAGGAAAGCAGCCTGTATGTTAGCAAAGATGGAAGGTAGGAAACCACGCTAACATAGTGTAGATCTACAATCATGTGATTCCTCCATCAGATCGACTTTGGCTTTCTTCATGGTTATACTGCATATTTTAGGTCTTGGGGTTCTTATCAAAACCAGAAATCTTTAGGAAAATTTATGATGTATGTAAAAAATGGACGCTGGTTGTATCAAAGCGTCTCCATGTTCTCTGGGTTTCAAAGATCACGTTGGGTTTCCAGCCACAGGGTGATGTTAACTGCAAATGGTGACTTTATTTGGACTTCAGGGTGAAATCTACCAGACCTTGTAAAATCTCTGCAGGGATGTTTAGTGCACTCTAAATACTTTATGCACTTTATTACATGAAAAGGGAGACCTTTGGATCTGACTTCTAACCTGAATTTGTTGCATCTTCTGTTGTATATTTACCTTTTTACGTCCACCCCATAACTCCCACACATTCCTGCAGCTTTAAGCACAGCATTAATGCTTCATAAAGCAGATTCAAGATACTTTAACCTCAGCTACATAAGGAAGGAAATAATAAACAGGAAATGCTTTTATTGGTGGAAGATAATCTGTGTTCGGAGGCTAGAAAAGAGAAGTGAGTTCAGTTTTTTATTTCTTTTTGTAGCTCCTGCTCTAAAACCCTGTTCCTCAGTTACGTCGAAAAGCTTAGAAGGTTCAATCCTGGTTGATAAAACTCAACGTTTATAAACGGCATTGTTTCAATGGTTTATTTAAAGGTACAGTAGTATTTAAAAGTTTCACTAAAACTAAATTTCTCAATCTGAACATTTTTACTTAAAAATAAAATAAACAAGTGCTACTAATATTACTACTAATATCAATACCTGTAACATTTAATAGATTTATGGAAATGAATTCTGTGATTTAATTTTAAATTAATTGAACTCAGTTTATTTATATAGCACCAATTCACAACACACATCTTCTCAAGGCTGTGAGAGGTTTTCTATCTAAGGAAAATCACTTGATTGCATCGACTCATCGACTCCAAGGCAATCCCTCACACCAAGCATACTTGTAGTGACAGTGTAGAGGAAAAACTCCCTTTTAACAGGAAGAAATATCCAGCAGATTCAGGCTCGGTGTGAGCGGCCATCTGCTGAGACCGCCCTGGGTTAAAAGGAGACAGAAGCAGAGATAGCAAAAAGAAGCAGAGATACTAAAGGCAACTGTTCAAATCACACAGCCAGGCAGATGAGCTCCGAGCCAGCTCCCATGTCAGAGGATGAAAGAGAGCACACACAGTTAGACACAGTCAGAGAAACAGGTCTACACTAAAAAACAGGCGAAGCTCCAACATCTATAACACATTTTTACACCACTGTGTTGCTTTAGGTCCATTTTCTCTCAGCAAAAACTGTCTGCATGGAGTCAAATTTATTTAATTTTGTTGCAAAGAACGAATTTGGTAAATGGAAATTTAAAAGAAAAAAACAAAAAGGCCATTATAGATATAAGAATGGGATCTGGAAAATGCAATTTGGAGTAATGCAATTTTCAAAACTCTATCTGGAAAAACTAAGATTTGAAAAGCATAACATGAAAAGTAAATATGGAAAAAAAAATGTTAAAAAATCAATCAGAGAAAACGGCTTGCTTTTTTTGGAACAAAATTCTCCCCGTATTTCTGCCGCTGGTCCAGCTAAATTATGAACTTACCGTCAGATGAACTCTGTCATATCTGCTCACGCAGCTTGTTCCTTAATCCTGGGCTGGTCACATTCATTGCTGTGTGCAGACAGATAAAAAAAACAATGTGCCAGCTATTCCTGTGCTCATTTCTTCTTCTCTTCTCCCTTGTTGCCCTGCCACCTTGTTGAAGGAGCCTACCGGAGCCATTGATGACCTATGGACTGTATAAGGAGTTCATCAGCCCTGCAAGTAAGTGTCCTCAGTCCAGTGGTTAGGATGAGAACTGCAGATGGCCAAGATGTCAAATCACAAAAATAGGATCATTGATTCTCCATCTTTAGTGGTGAATAAATGCTTTAGGATTTCAACTAGAGGACAAATACAAGAAAATTACAGCTGCCTGCTTCTACTGCTGCTACAGCCATTACCGCTAATACTGCTAGTGTTACTACTAGTGTTAAACTAGAGGACAGTTAAAAGAAAGATATATTAGACTGGAACTATTACTGTTGCTGCTACTTCTACCATTACTGCTACTTCTGCTGCTACTAGGGCTGCTACTACTGCTAATGCCATTACCGCTAATACTGCTAGTGTTACTACTAGTGCTGCTGCTGTTGCTACTATTATTACTACTACAACTTCTGCTACTACCGTTACTGCTACTACTGCTAGTGTTTACTACTGCTAATACTACTAGTGCTGCTGCTACTGCTAATACTACTGCTGCTTCTAATACGACTGCTACTGCTACAACTGCTGGTGGTAACTACTCCTACTGCTAGGAGTACTACTGTTACTGTTACTACTGTTACTACTGTTACTACTGCATCAACTGCTACTACTACTATTTACTGCTACGACTGCTACTGCTACTGTTACTACTAGAGGTGAGTATTGGCATGAGTGTTGTGATTCGATACATGTCGCGATACTTATACAATATTATCACAATATTGCAGTATCACTATATATTGCCATATTTTCCCCAGCTATCAAAATCAAATGATGAGATAAAACAGCAAGTGCTGTATATTTTCATCAGAAAATATTGATTAGGTATTATTATCCATGTTGTTTGGGGTTTTCTTCCACTGTGACTGCCTCAAATACAGATTTGGTGCTGCACGCACAGTTAAAGGGCTGCACAGCGCTTTCTGCCAGAGTGGTGGTGCAGAGGTAGCCCATTTTCCCATCAATGTTTTAATGTAACCATTTTTTTTTTTAATCGATACTAAGAAGTGAAAGATCGATATTATATTGGTCAGCCGAATATCACGATATATCGCCAAAACGATTATTTCCCACACCCCTAGTTACTACTGCGTGTACTGCAGCTGCCACTGCTACTACTACTGTTACTGATTCTGTAGCAGATATTTCCCAAGGAAGTCGGACGCTTGAGCTTGATGTGTCGCTTAGTGTCGCTGGTGAATGTGGAATAGAATAAACCAGAAGTTGAAGATAAACCGATGCATCAACCAGCTGATAATTTTTGCCAATATTAGCATTTTCTTTTCATTATTATGTATAGTAACATGTGTGATTATAGTAACATGTTTTTTTAAGTGGAAATGTGGAGAAAAAAAAAAACAAGATTTTTAAATTAAAATTTCAGAAATAAAACTTTAAAAAAAGGGGTTTTAGTTCAAAAAGTTTTAGAGAGCTTGCAGAACCTACTGATGAGACAGCAAATGGATGCATGTATCGACCGGTTCTGAAACATGGAAAAAATGTAAACATAAGCCAAAACTACCATCTGGCCGATGTGTCGTTTTACCTCTAATGGCAACAGTTTGGGCATTTTCTAATAAACTGATTTGGGGTGAAAACAAATATTACAAAATTAAATCAAAACGACATTAACAATGAATAGCAGATGGATTGAGCGGCAATGCTTGCACCTTATGTGAATGTACTGATCTATGAACGGGTGCAAGTATCTGCAGACAACAGTAATATCTACCAGACGATGCATCGCTCTGTTTCTTATTCATTTTCACTTTAAAACATAAGTTGACTAATTCTTGATAACAGGCTTATAGAGGTTTTAGATGAAAGATTTTTCCCTGTTGTAGAAAAGGTGCTTTTCTGTCCCGCCCACCACCTACCTTTTGCATAAATCTGCTTTAAAGCGAGCCAAACTTGAGTCTTACTGCAACAAGTGCTGTAATTGGATCAGGTTGATGTTTTTATCAGGAGCTCGCAATGCCCTTATAACGATGGGGGGTTGGTAAAACCGGATTAGCAAAGAATTTAGTATTTATCTTTTTGACGGGTGACAGCATCCATAAGAAGCTTTCTCCTCATGTTTAAATCCTGGTGGTTCCCATAGTAATGATATTTAGCGTGTCTGTGTGTGCTGCTGCGTGGGCGCTCAGATGCTCGCGTGTGAGGAAATGTTTAAGACATGATCTGGAAGGGATTTTTATTTTTTTTTTTCCTCCGCAACCTTTTTTTTTTTTTACATGATAGCGACAGCAGCGTGGAGCAGTCTCCCCTGCCAGCAACGTGGACTCTGCTGCCAAATTCAGACAAGTTCAACTCATCACACCTCTCTGCTCAAACAGGAAGCCGTCTTCTTGTAATCTGTAGACTTGTGCAGCGAGGCGGCTTATGCCACCTGATATGGGGCCTGAAAAGTTTGCTTCAATCCAAGGTGTCCACATTCGTTAGGATCCATATTTGGGGATTTCTTGTTTTTATCTAAGTGATAAAAGTTTATGTTGTGATTCGTTTGCTTTGACTTTCCGGTGAAATCTGTTGGCGCTGCTCTGATCTTCAGCGCTTCATCGAATCGCCCATTTGAAGCTGAACATTTGATCTGAGCCGTTTTTGTTTTCTGTGTTTGAATAGAGGGCGGCAGTCCCGAGTCTCGCATCCAAGCCGTCCACTGCCTGGTCCACAAACTACCGGAGAAGAATCGACTTGTCCTCGGGCTGCTCATGAAGCATCTGGCCAAGTGAGTGGTCAGAGTTCAGCCAATCTCCGCCTCCTCTCTCTCGCTTTCCCTCTCTCTGCTCTTCATGTCTGTCTCCTCGTTCTCACTCCACATGCTTTTTCTCTCCATCTCCCTCACTCCCACTCTCTTCACTCCCCCTTCCCTGCTGTCACTCCATCTCTTCCTTGTCTACTCTTTGCTTGCTAACAAATTAGACTTTTTTTTTTTGCCTTTTCTTGAGCATTTTCCATGCAGGAGGAGAATTAAACCAGTTTATTGTACCTGTTTGAAAAATTGAAGCTTTTTCTGGACAGACCTCGAATAAGCATCAGTTATTTAGCATTTGGACAAAAGGAAAGATTTAGGAAATAATGTTAAACAACATTACAAGGTTTTACCTCAGCAAGCTTTATATAAACTAAATATGAGCAAATTGAAGATAAGTAAATAATCCCTCTTCCCCGAGGCAGTGGAAGTCTGGGGAATCTTATTTCAGAGAAAACCCACTGCAGAATCAGGCTCTGCTTAAAAAAAAAAAGGCAGCTCTATTGAAACTGAATTTGGATTATCCAGCGTGAAATTCTCCAGACTGGAGACTTGAATTTTTTTATTTTTTTTTCTGAAGTTGGCGTGTGTGCGTGTCCTGCAGGGGAAGGAAGCAAAGCCAGAATTTCACACTCCTATCTGAAATGGTTGCAGAGATATTATAAATGTGAGTTGTCACCAATGTTCTAGTCTTCAAAGAGACCCTTTGAAGCTATTTAAACTGTCTCTCTGCAGCTGCGACACCTATCATCTTGTTGTGAGTGTGAAATCTCCTCACATGTCCAGATAACTAGAAGTTAAGGTTTTCCTCCTCTCGATTGACCACCGAGCCGCCCTACTTTTAAACGAGAAGCCTTCCGACATATTCATCTTTAAAATTCTCCAACCATGTCGTTCCTCCCAAAAGTATTCACACCTCATTGAACATTTAGGCGCAGTAAGCGGAGTGGAGGCCTAGTGGTTAAAGCATAGAGCTTGAAATGTTGATGTTCTGAGTTTGAGCCCCATTCCTACAGACTGCCACTCCGAGTCTCTGAGCAAGACCCTTAACCCCACACTGCTCCCTGGGGGCCCCACGATGGCAGCCCACTGCTCCCCGAGGGGATGGGTTAAATGCACAGGTACATTTCTCCAATGTGAGATCAATAAAGTTAAATTATAATTATTTCTTCATCTTTGTTTTGAAGGGACAAAACTAAAAGCATTGTTCCAATGACAGATGCCATATAGCTAATTGCTAAATTGCAGACTTGAGCTGCAATAAATAAAAAGATGTTTAAATAAAAATGGACAAAAGAATAAGAACAATAAAACAATTTAAATAGATTTTCACAAACTCTTTTTAAGCTGTTTTTTTATTTTTTTATTTTAATGCCAAATCTCTTTGAGCTGGGGTATTTCAAATCTATGACAGAAAAGTCACTCCATTTTAGGGTTGTCAAAAGTATCGATACTCAAAAAAGTATCGATACTGAAACGTTGTATCCGGATACAATACTCATTTTCAAAAGTATCGAGTACCAGTCGCACCTAAACAGTCATTCATCTAAAGTGCAGAATAGAGGAAAATGCACTTTCAGAACACTGTGATTGAATCATTTTCTGCACTTTTCAGTTTCAGACTTTTTTTGTAACAGTTGCAGCTGCTGAGAATTATTTTTGTTTCTTAACCGGTTTGGCTAGTGTCATTGTTATGTGTGCAAAGCGTAGCCAAGTAAGGAAAACTTAATTTTAATTTTGTAAGTTTTTTATCAAGCTTGCTAAATACTGTGCACAGCAAACAACCTCAAAATATTGTTCTTATTGTTTATTGTATTTATTTATTTATTGTATTTTAATTATCAAAATATTTCTGTTGAAATTTTATCCTTGTGGTATCGAAAATGGTATCGAGTATCGAATATTTTCCTTAGTATCGGTATCGAGTTGAAAAGTTTAGTATCGTGACAACCCTACTCCATTTACCTCTGTATTTACCTCACTAGTTTGTCTGGAGCCTTCTCTGGAGTTTTTACAAACCCATAAATATGGTTGTCATCAGCGTAGAGCTGGAACACCATATTGGTCCAGATGGTTTGGAGATCATTTGTATAAAGATGGAATAAAATGGGGCCTGGGATGCAGCGTGGTTTGATCTTCATTTTAAATTTCTCCATTAATTTTTACACACGGTGTCCTTGACTCCATTGATTGTTTGCTAACTGAAAGCAATTTCTGTCAAATATTTAGGTCTAAGGCAGACTGTTTTGGATGTAAAATATTTTGTACACATGAGCAATTAACCCTTTCCTTTAAAACCTTTTAAACCATCAAGAGAAATTAAATTTGTTTGTAGTCCTGGTCTGCAACTTTAAAAATTGGACTTAATAGTCTTTGCTTTTTACTTTTTTGAACTTTTTCACTGGAGATTAATAATATAACCAGGTGGGTTAAGGGCCCAGACCAGGAATTTCAGTCTTATTTTAGAACGACGAACTTCCATGTATCTTAATGGGATTTTTGTGCAACAGGTCAGCAGAAAGGAGTGGATAGTTGCACTCTGACCTTTCAGAAAGAGTAGCAAGAACAAAGAGCTCCCTCTGCAGGCTGCAGGTAGGGGATGAAGCTGCATTGTTCAGCTGAGAAAACTAACCCTCAGCACCCCCTCCCCACAGTCACACATGGCAGTGGCAGCATTATGCTGCGGGGGAAGCTTTTGTGGGGATATTCAGAATATCCAAAAGGTCAGAGTTAGTGTTATGTGCGTTCAGATTGTTTTCATCCAGACCAACCAAATATGAGCTCTTTTCAGAAGAAGAAAGAGCTAAAATCTGCTGACGGAGGCGTTAAAGGACTGGAGGGTGGATTAAACATGCACACTGAAGGAATCCACTTTTTATTTATGCTCCATAAAATTTGCTTTTAGTTCACTTAAAATCCCTTCACCTGTAAGATCAAACTCGGCCCAAAGTTAGGTTAAATACATATTCTGGTGAATATGGCTTTTTTATTTTTATCAAATTATGTTGCTTTTAGTTCCTTTCAGAAAGTTCTGATTCCTCAGAATCTACACAGAAATGCTGTTCCTACACCGTTCTGCCCCTTAATGCTGATTTGTGTCGCTCTCGTCCCTCAGTGTGGCGATGCACAGCAAACAGAACCTGATGACCGTCGCCAACCTGGGCGTTGTGTTTGGGCCCACGCTCATGAGGCCGCAGGAGGACACAGTCGCTGCCATCATGGATCTCAAGTTCCAAAACATTGTTGTGGAAATCCTCATCGAGCACCATGAGAAGGTAACCAGCTGAGCGTCTACAACACCTCAGGCTTTAACTTCTTTTATGGGACGATACTTAAAGCTGGGCATACACTGTGCGATTTTCGGGGCGATTTTCGAATCGTACGAGAATTTTTCGATTGGGCCGACTTTCAGTCTGATTGTGAGTCGTGTACTGTACTGGTGATTGCGAGCGACAATCAGCCTCTCACGACCACCTCCCGATCAGGAATCATGAGGTCGGGAAAAAGTCAAACATGTTTGATTTTCTCCCGACTGTCGTGGGCAAATCGCTCAGGCCGCAAACAAGGATT